ATGTGAATTTGGAATGGATGAACTTTGTTGTCCGATGGTGGATTACCGCGAATCATTTAGGCCCGTGCCTCTGACGGTATTGTGCCACTCCAGTCCGGAACCAACAAGCTCGCTTCTCAAGCGGGTATGACTGGAATCGGAATGCCGCGTATCGTTGATGGTAAGTTTCACCTACCAAGATTACTTGGGTCTGAGCTGTGCTCAATATACCTCATTGTAGTTCGCAAGGCCGAGGAACAAGACCGAGAATCGCAGGGATTCATCCATCTTCAGATGGGAACCAATCGATTTGCCAACCAGTCTGGTATGACTGGCTTCGGTATGCCCCGCCACAACATCACGTCCAAGTTCGTTTTTGATCACATTTAATTACATTTTTTAAAACAACAGCATGAGTCGTGTGCAGGCTATATTCCGTGTTGAAAGGGGAGTGTTTAGAGACATGGGCAATCGGGGAGAGGGGGGAGGGAGGGGAAGGGACCGAGGTTGACAATTGCCGGCTCGGATAGAGACATTGATAGTGAGTGCGTAAACGAGAAGGCACAACAAGTGTCGGTGCACCTCTAGCCCCTACCCTTGAGTCGTGAGTGCAGGGGTCTATCGCTTCTACACTCCCAACGATTCCGTAGACACTCCCTTTCCAGCACAGAGGTATGGACTGTATCAGAAAATTGCAGCAACGAACGTTGCTGACTAACCATAAGTGATTAGTCAATTATTGGTAGATCTCATGCTCAATAATAACTAATTCAGGTACAAAGATGAGGTACGTGGTGAGATGCCTCATGACGAAGGAACCACCTCAAGACAAACTTCGGGATGGAGAGAGGGTGAGTCATAGATTCAGCTACTGCTTCATAAATAGAAATAAGCCTCTATAATGGCTTCAATCCATTGACTACTCGAAGCTCAGTAGACCTAAAAATAACACCCAAGTAAAAGCCATGGAACAACTTCAAAAGCTGCTATCATTCTGCAACCTCCTGATTACCAACCTGAAAAAAACAACGACTGGCACAGGATGGGGCCAATGTTCTCTACCTATCGGCCATCTGAACAGATTCCTGAGTCGCTCAGCAAGCGTTTCTGCGTTCAGTGAGTGAACCATAGACGAATCCTGCCCAGAATCATCATTTGCATAAAAAAATCAGTGAATATTAGCGCGAAATCCCTAAAGGGGTCCATATCCCCAACTTTGTGGAGAGCGCGACCAACACTGGTCCTTTTTTGTCATCCTTCACTCTGCTGTTGTTCTGGTGTTGTTGTTTATTCAACATGAATGTGTCGCTCAAGAGCTTGAAGGCACATTCCATTCTCGTGGAATGGGCGGAGCTGAGCACAAGGCGGTGCTTCCCCTACTGGATAGAGTATTTTTGCCCTTATTCTAACCGGAAGAGGAGTTAAAAACTTTTGGGAAATACAGTAGTGGATCTCGCTGGGTGAAGGGCGTGACATTCGCTCTTGGACCCTACTACTTTTATTGCTCCTGAGCAAAGTAAAAAAAATCTTGTATACGCAGTCTTGTGAGGGGAAAGCGAGGCCGCCGTGGAGGTTACATAAGTGTAGCAGCCTGGGAAATATGAAGCGACAGTCGGTACGATGTGACCGAACCGAATCTTAACTGCTCAGTATCTTAACTGCTCCTAGTAAATACTTTGCGTACTCATCAGCGAATCCTCACGTTCTCCTGAGCTACCTTCGAGTGGCCAACCTTTTTTCAAATGAATAGAATGACCATACTGATTTTGTCCCCAAATGGAAACTGACGCCTACTATAATCGCTGTGGGGAGTTATATATGAGAGAGTGAACGTCTTTTATCGACACGAATAAAGCCCTCTCTCTATTATAAAACCTACTCTCAGTACCAAACTAGGAGGCTTCACAGCGGCCGCCGGTCTCGCATGATTTGGACCTTATATATAGAGGCCTGCTTTTACCTAGACTCTTTATACACACACCGTGTGATGCTCGCTCCACAATCAGGCACTGCTTTGCCACAAAGCTACCGAGTCTCTTTGGCACACGGAACAGACCGTGATCAGCCAGTTACTCACACCGCACTAGAATGCTTTTGAACCGGAAATGAAACCGGAAAATATCGCAAAAAAAACTGCTTTATATTCCAGGGAATGATCCCTTACCAAATGGGAGTGAACTTCCTTGAATCACAGGCTGGTAAGACCGGATTTGGAATGCCTAGACAAGTGAGTTTTGAAGTTTAACAATAAAAGTCATCGGCATTGAAGGAGCCTGTCTTCGAGAGCCACCAGCTATGAAATCTTGATGAAAGCACTTCCAGGTATATACCGCTTTCGTCGACGATACCCATGAGGATCTTCCCGCTGACATGGCTCGCAGACCGGAGGTTCCATTCTGGACTGGACAAGACGAAGCTAGGCACGCTAATCAGGTGGGTGCAACTACCCTAAGGGTTATTCGGCATGCAGCTCAGGGAAGGCAAGCAGCTCAGGGAATCAGAGTACGAGGTTCAATCGAAGAAAATCTATACCCATACCTGAATGCGCATGTGGGCCCTGATAAACCAATCATTGATCAAAAATAACAAAAAACATTTCAGACCGGTATGGGTGCGTTCGGAACCCCTCGTGATGTGCGCGGAGAATACGTTCGACGCATGTGGTGACGGCTCTCTTTGCCGTTCGGCCGTCGCTGTTGCCGTCATCGTTGTCGTCGTCATCGAATCTTAGCCAGCTACACACAGAATACCATAGCTATCGTACCCCTGTGGAATTTGTGACATACCGTACCCTTAAACATTCGATCCCCCTGAAAAAATCGACTAAATTCAGACAACATCATACATGCCAGTGACGATACTTGCCTTCTCGCATCTTTACACCCGTATCTGTCTTTACCATATGTTTATATTCGAGAATTTAATAAATTTGCCAACTCGCATTCTTTTGCAATTCTGAAAAAATACTGCAGCTGTATTACAAAAGTCCTTATCAAGGCTCCTGTAAGGCAAGAAAATCCGATGAGTTTCTTCCAGCATGCAGCAAAGAAACTTCTGATGAAGCCTTGGATGGGCCTTATGTGGTGATGACATTGAAAACATTGTCCGCGCTGATGGTGTGGGCGGAGTCAAGCAAGCACACAACTGCTCTTTCCTCATAGCTATGCTCCTTTTTTCTGGTTCGGTAAAGAGGGACGCAATAACGACGAGGCGCAATGGTTCATCGTATCTCCAACCCATGAGCCTGAAGTATCCCTTATAATTACTGTCGATTGCGTCATAAAATTCTGGCTTGCATAGAGGGAATAGCTCGGTTCCAAAAAAATGACATAATTAGGGAATTCCAGTGAATGACCGTATCGAGTACTTGTAATTGAAAGGTTACCACTTCCCGATTCTGGGAAAGCGATAAGAAACATCGGACGCAACATCT